CGACCCCCCAACCCGACCCCTATATCACCCCCACTCCCACTCCCACTCCCACTCCCATCTCATCTCATCCCCGCCCCACCACCAGAGGCGTATCCATGTTTATGGATATGGGTTCACGTGAACCCATACTCCTCTACCAAAATCATATATAACAATGTTATATTTCTTTAATATTACTTAAATATATGTGTGTGAACCCATGATCAAAGACTCCTATGGTACAAGTATTGTTGAGTGCACCTCTACAAGTCAAAATTGGCGGTTCAAATTACACTCTGAACGGTCTTGATTTCGGCACGAAGAATAGATATATATGTGAAAATTACTAAATTTTCAAAAAGAATATAATTTTGAACATATAATTTCAAAAGTGTAGTGGGTTCACGGTAAGAGACTAAAGTTAAACCCGTCAAATATAAATTCTAGATACATTTCTCCACAGTAGTGCACCCATCCTCGGATCCGCCTCTGCCCACCACACCACTTCCACCCCTACTAATAGCTAGTATAAAAACTTTTGGGACAAAATTTTCTGCTTACTTACCAAATACCAGAAAATCACTTATTTTCTAGGAAAACACTTATAAGGAAAACATTTTTTGGTGGAAACCAAACACACCTTATAATCAGCACCTATATTTTTGAAACTACACCAGGAAAAGCTACTGTAAACAAAAAATAGGCAGAACAGAGTAAAACTGTAAAAGCAAATAAGTTCACAGAGCATAAGTTACAGAGGAATCAAGAGTAAGATTATTACACCTACCGGAGGAGGATCGGGGAGAGACATTGCCGGAGAACTGTGACCGTACGATCGGTGGCGAATGGGAGAAACTTCCGTACTTGAGAATTCAGTGCATGTGAGAGGAGAGAGCGTTGGGTAAAGGAAGAGGAAGAGCTAGTGAAAATAAAGAGGTTTACTTTTGGGGGTAGTTTCGTGATTTCAAGAGGTGTTTTCTTTTTCAGTGGAACTGTAGATGAGTGCCATGTGTTCAAATAAATTTTAATGGTCAAGGTCTTACTTTACAATTTTTTTCTAGTTTGGATATAAATTCAATGAAAGTTGCGGTTGAAAAATAATTTTTTTAAAATAAAATTGTGCTTGCATATATATTTTATTTGACTAAAAATTTTATAAATGAAAGAAAAAATTTCACCCAAAAACTACTCTAAATAAGTTTTTTGTGAACTTGAAAAAAACTTCAATATGTTTTTCAAAAATTGATCATGTTCCATAACAAACGGTGTTTCTAAATCTAAAATTTATGATCAAACGGGTGCTAAATTTATTTTTTGCATTACACATCAATTATTAAAAATATAGGTTTTCTTTAAACACAAAAATACCAATCCTCGGTAGTGTATGTCAGGAAATCATATGCAAATAATTAAATACATGGAAGCTCTATATCATATGCGCGAGCGCAGACACAATTTTTTTCTTTTTTTCTTTTTTTGATGAGATATGATATTGTACGGGGATACTTGCACCTTACAGTAATAATGATTATTTCTTACTAATTTTCAACTATACTTTGGTACTATTACAACCCTAATAATATACATTAGCATTTTGGTATTTTCCTGTTTCATGTAAACTCCAAAACAAATATTTGTAAACTCTTTTTTTCTGTCACTCATCAACTATTACATTTCAATATATATATTCAACACCCCCTACTCCACACAATAGCATGGGGATGTATACGTCTTGTTATTGCATGCCTGCTCTTATTTATGGCAGTTACGAAAATAGTAAATAATAAATATAGTACTATAGTAGTTTGTAACTTTTTCTCTTTGTGGCAAGTGTTGTAGTCTTATTGTCACTCACAGTTCGAGGAAATCAAATTCATATCTAAAAGGCATGTCCCTTTTTCAGTTATTGATTCGTATGACAGTTCATTTCAAAATGCTTTTGGCTTAGAGTTTTGAAAATTTTAATATACTTAAGATACTTATAATCCATATTCAAGGGGTACTAACTAAAACACATACTAAAAGAGATGATTTGCGAGAGCTTCAATTTTGAATTAAAAGTATATGTACAGAAACAATAGAAAAGCTTTTTCTCGCATAGATAATATATCAACCTAGACAAATATTTTTAATTTAAAAAAATAAAAAATAAAAAGACAAAGATTTTTATTGTCATAGAAAACGTTACCTTCATATATAGAAGCACATGAGGCTTCCGCTGTACTATAAAGGGGAAGAGATACTATATGAGGAGATGTTAATGTATATTTCTTTGACCTTACACCTTTTTTCACGTAAATAGGAATTTAAAGAGCATTAAAAAAATTCACCACGCAAATTTTGAGAGACTAATAGTTGTCGAAAGGTTAAAATGATAGGGTGTTCATAAATGATAGGGTGTTAATGATGTATTATAAGATACTCCATAATATAGAGCCCAATGTGAGTGACACAATGTAGAAAAAGATGTAGATAATGGGTTTGTTTGGTAAGAAGGAAAATATTTTTTATGGAAAATGTTTTCATGAAAAATGAGTGATTTTATTACTTATTTTCTCTTGTTTGATTGGTAAGTGAAAAAATAATTTCGAAAAATATTTTCTAGTGTTTGGTTAGAGAGTAAAAAATATTTTTTGGGGAAAATATCTTTTTATGCTACTCTCCTCACCCCACCCCTTCCCTCAAGTCCCTAGACTCTATTTTCTTCAATAATTTAATTATTCTTCTAAAAATTCACACAAATCCAAAGGAAATAATGTGTTGCTTTATTTTTTTACGAAAACGTTGAAATTTGTGCTCCGTGACTAAAAAGAAAATACTCTTTTTTGGTTGAAAAAGAAAGTACTCTTTCTACAACATGAAAATAAAGTACTCATTTTATTGAAATAAAAGAAAATACTTTTTCTATATCATGAAAAGAAAATACTCATTTTGTTGAAATGAAAAAAAAAATACATCATGAAAAGAAAATACTTTTTCTATTGAAATGAAAGAAAATATTTTTTCTACATATAAAAAAAGAATTTTTTTTGTTAAGATGAAAAAAATACTTTTATATATCATGGAAAAAAAAATACTCATTTGGTTAAGGGGATATTTGCTACTCTGAATGAGTGACGGGTTAAGGGGAACGTCTGTAAAATCGAAGTGTATGAATTAATAACTTTACGTGACAATTTTACAATGCAATTATGTATTTTTCCTCACATGAGTAAGGAAAATGCTTGTCACATATCCCAAAAAACAATGCTCGTGAAGTCGTATATAAGCACCATCAGTTTGCTTTCAACTAATTTGGATATTAACACTTATATATAACTATTGTTAAGAAAAATCAAATTATGGTGGATGTCTGCTATTCGTCTATGATCTTCATCTCAAATGCTTAATGACATATTCAATGACATATTTTTTTCACTTCTTATGCATATATAAAGACCTTGTAATAGATAGGAAAATACACACAATTGAAGAAGAAAATCTCTTCCTTCTCTCTATCTCTCTATATCTCTTAGCTTGTTTTTCCTTGTCATATATTGTTACTTTGAGCTATATTTTATAACACGTTATCAGCACGAATTAGCTTCTGCTCAAGTCCGATCAGGCACACACTAGCTACCACCACTCTACTTTCTGGTATATTTCTTTTAAAGTTGTCATAGCATTGTTATTACGTCTGAATAATTTTCTTTTTCCCAAGGTTGATTACTAATCTACACATATACCAGTTAATTTAGATGCTATTATTCTTTAAATATTTTCAACCAATCAATTCTATGCTTATGTAAGCTCCCATTACATGGACCTAATTATTCTGGTAACCACAAAAAAGTGATGCATTCATATAATTTGTGGTTTAAGACACTATGCTGTTATTTTTATGAGTATACTGTCAACAAGTTTTAACATAATTATAGATTGGCATTTTATTAAAAATATAAAAATACATACATATGTCAAATTTCTAACATGATTTCTACTACATAGAGAATGCGGGTCCCTACAGTGCCAACAAATAGTCTAAACATGATTTCTAACATGATTTGTGGTAAAATTTCTCTACTACATGGAGAATGTGCAGATGACAACAGATTATTCAACTACACAGTTCCACGGAATTTGACCAAGTCATAATTCCTACGGTCCACGTCCACACGCCCGTCACCTAGCATGTGCGTCACCTCAAGACCTAATACATGACACGTAATACAGGATTTCGTACCCTCATAACCAAATTTAGAACGGTTGCTTACCTCAATCTGAACAAATCTCTACTCCAACACACCCCTACCTCCCGAAACGGCCTCTAAATGCTTCGAATCTAGCCATAAACAATGTGATATAATCAATACGTGCTAAAGGAATTAACTCCATAAGAAAATGCTAAGCTATTAATCAAAATCAAAAATCAGCTCAAAAGTCACCCCGGGGTCCACGTCTCAAAATTTGATAAAAGTCACAAAACCCGAAAGTCTACTCAACCGCGAGTCTAACCATACCAAATTTATCAAAATCCTACACCAAATCGTCACCAAAATCCCCAAAACAAACTCTCTAAATCCCTAGCCTCAACCCCTAATCTACACCTTAAATACACACCAACTAGGTAGAAAAATTAATGGGGAAGCAAGATTATTGATCACAAATGTGCACAAGTAACCTACCTCAAGAATCTCCTCGAAAACCCTCTCAAAGAATGCCTAAATCGTGCTTGAAATGTTTAAAATGAAGCCAAAATCGCAAACCCTTATATTTAACTTTCTGCCCAGCCTTTCCACTTATGCGGACATGTAACTGCATCTGCGGTGTCGCAGAAGCGACCAAAATTTCACTTATGCGGTGAACCACTAGAGTTGGGCCTCCATTTCTACAGTCCTCGCCTCGCGTCTACGCGACCGCGGGTGCGGAACTCCCCATCGCACCTGTGAGCCCTCCGCTTCTGCGCCATTAACGTCACATCTGTGACCACGCAGGTGCGAAAATAACCTCGCACTTGCGACCTCTGCTCACTCCCTTCCTGGCCGTTTCTGCGGGTCCCTTTTCGCTTCTGCGAGAACGCACCTGCGATCCCCACTCTACAGGTGTGATTACACCAAAAGCTGATGAGCTTCAACATTCCCTCTAACTTCAAATCGATCTGATAACCATCCGAAATAAACTCGAGGCCCCCGGGACCTCAACCAAACATACAAAAGAGTCCTAAAACACGATACGAATTTAGTCGATCCCCCAAATCACCTCGAACAACATCAAAAACACGATTTGCATATAGATTCAAGCCTAATGAATTTTGAACTTTTAATTTCTACAAACGGCATTGAAACCTATCAAAACACGTCCAATTGACCCAAAATTTTGCACACAAGTAATATTTGACATTACGGACCTACTCCAACTTTTGGTATCGGAAGCCGACCTCGATATCAAAAAGTCCACTCCCGGTCAAACTTTTCAAAATTTTAACTTTCGTCATTTCAAGCCAAATTCCACTACAGACCTCCAAATCATAATCTGGACATGCTCCTAAGTCCAAAATCACCTAATGGAGCTAACTGAACCATCAAAACTCCGTTCCGGAATCGTTTACTCAAAGATCAACATCCGGTCAATCATTTCAATTTAAACTTTTAACCTTGAGACTAAGTGTCTCATTTCATACTGAAAATCTCACCGAACCCGAACCGACTACCCCATCAAGTCACATAACAGCTATAAAGTACAAAATGAGCAGTAAATGGAGAAACGAGGCTACAACTCTCAAAATGATCTGCTGGGTCGTTACATCCTCCCCCTCTTAAATAAATGTTCGTCCTTAAATGGGTCTAGAAACATACCCGGAGTCTCAAAAAGGTGTGGATATCTGCTCTATATCTCCCACTCGGTCTCTCAAGTAGCTTCCTCAACTAGC